GGATTTTAATTTTACAATCGAAACACTAAATTTCGAACGTTCGTAGAAACTTGTATCTTTCTGAACAAAAATAAAAAAATTATCTCACATATATATTTATAATTCGTAAGCAGAGGATTTTAATTTTACAATCGAAACACTAAATTTCGTAGAAACTCATACTTTTCTGAATGAAAATGAGAAATACTGTTTGTTAAAATATTGCAAAGGATATTACAGCTTTATGCATTTTTTGTGTTTTTCGTATCTCTGCCATTCCATTAACCACGTTGCGCTGGAACAATTGATCGCGGACCATAACGAGTGACCGAACCGTATACAACAATTTGTCGCTGCCTTTTTCTTCCTGAACTCGTCGGTATATCACCGGATAGAAATTATTGACAATTAATAGATTTATTATTTGTTTTACTTTAATATAATAAATATATTTTATTATGTTTTATTTCACTTAAAACTGATTATATAAAACCTTTACCCATTATATTTATATATATAATAAATATATATTTTATTTCATTTAAAACTGATTACATAAAAATTTTACTTATTATTATACTTATATGTAATACATATATTTCATTGTATATTTTGTTTTACTTAAGAACTGAGGAAATATTGCAATTTTGGAACAAAAAAGGTTCTCGACGTGCGTGATACGTTATTCCAGCGCAAGAGGTTAATAAAGCGAATAGCTTTATCGCCACCGGCCGAGAAATTCATCGTGTGGTAGTGGTATGATAAGGGACAAATTCGAAGAAAGGAGAGGAAATGCAGTGAGGTGGTCCTTCGTGGAGAAGGGAAGGCGCTTCGAATCGGGAAGGAACGATGCCACGTTCGCGGCCGGAAACGTTCGAACTGATGGTAGAGGCCGAGAGGCCCTCCAAGTGCATCAGGTGCCTCCGTTTCCTGTGGAAGTTCTTCAGATGCGTTTTCTCCCACGTGTCGCTCGTCTCGTTGGTCGTTCTCTACTGTCTCATCGGCGCTTATGCTTTCGAGGCGCTCGAGGCCACCCACGAGAAAGAGGTAGACAAATTTTCATTTCTTCCTTTCTTTCTTGTCTCTGCTTATTTTTATATTTCATCTTCATTTTTTATTTCTACGCAATAGTAAATAAATGTTTTTCGTTAGCTCTTGTCTTTTTTCTCTGTCATGCGTACATTTCTGAAATTTAGAGAACAAGAACTTTTTCCCGTTCTTTCTTCTCTCTACTTATTTTTTCGTTTTATCTTTATTTTTTATTTCTACGCAATAGTAAATAAAAGTTTTCGTTAGCTTTTATTTTCTTTTTCTTTGTCATGCGTACATTTCTGAAATTTAGAGAACAACAAGAACTCTCATTTCTCCCTTTCTTTCTTCTCTCTACTTATTTTTACGTTTCATTTTTATTTTTTATTTCTACGCAATAGTAAATAAAAGTTTTCGTTAGCTCTTGTCGTTTTTTCTCTGTCATGCGTACATTTCTGAAATTTAGAGACCAACAAGAACTTTCATTTCTCCCTTTCTTTCTTCTCTCTACTTATTTTTACGTTTCATCTTTATTTCTTATTTCTACGCAATACTGATTAAAAGTTTTCGTCAGCTTTTTATTTCTTTTTCTCTGTCATGCGTACATTTCTGAAATTCAGAGACCAACAAGAACTTTCATATCTCTCTTTCTTTCTTCTCTCTACTTATTTTTACGTTTCATCTTTATTTTTTATTTCTACGCAATAGTAAATAAAAGTTTTTCGTCAGCTCTTGTCTTTTTTTTCACTGTCACGCGTACATTTATGAAATTCAGAGAACAACGAAAAACACTTTTACTTTCATTTCGTTTCAGCTGAAGATGACGAAATGGAAATCTTCTTTCTTTCTTGCCCCTCCAACGTCTCTCTCCTTTTCAATTTCAATTTTCATCATTCGTCTCCCCCTTTCTTTTTCTTCTCTTCTTCTTCTCTTCTGTTTCAGATTAAAAAAGGCATCAAAGACATCAGGGGGAACGTGGCGGAACAGCTGTGGAAGATCACGAAAGAGGTGGAGGTTCTGATTCGTGAGAATTGGACGGACAAGGCGTTACGCGAATTAAAGGTAACCCATTCGCAACGCGACACGACACGACCACCAGAAATTGAACTCGAATTCCCACCACTGCACTATCGCTAGTTCTCCGCTACTTCTTCGCTAGTTTTCCACACCACTTTTCTTTCGCAGAGCTTCGAGAACAACCTCGTGTGGATGATGGAGAAGGAGGGTTGGGACGGCAGCGAAGGCGAGGACGACATCCAATGGACTTTCGCCGGCGCTCTCTTCTACTCCATCGTGGTCATTACTACAATTGGTAAGACTAATCATCGTTAACACACAATGATCTTTATAACAACGTAATAATCTTAATTTAATCTTTGTGATAATATAAATTTAAATATTATATTAATAATGGATACCATTAAATATTTGTTACAATAATAATCTTAATTTAATCTTTATGATAATATAATGTTAAATATTATATTAATAATAACGTATAATATTAAATATTTGAAATAATAATAATCTTAATTTAATCTTTATAATAATATAATGTTAAATATTATATTAATAATAACGCTACTATATTAATAATGCTATATTATAATAAATATTAATAATAATAATAAATATTACTATACTAAATAATACTATACTAATTAATAATAAATATTTGTAATAATATAATATTAAATACTATATTAATAATAACGCATATAATATTGAATATTTGAAAAAATATTAATTTAATCTTTACTAATATAATATTAAATATTATATTAATAATGACGCATAATATTAAATATTTGTAACAATAATAATCTCAATTTAATCTTCATAATAATATAATATTAAATATTATATTAATAATAATACATAATATTAAATATTATATTAATAACGCATAATATTAAATATTTGAAGAAATAATAATCTTAATTTAATCTTCATAATAATATAATATTAAATATTATATTAATAATAACGCATAATATTAAATATTAAATATTACATTAATAATAACGCATAATATTAAATATTAAATATTACATTAATAATAATATATAATATTAAATATTAAATTAATAATAATATATAATATTAAATATTATATCAATAATGACGCATAATATTAAATATCTGCAATAACAATAATCTTAATTTAATCTTTATAATAAAAAAACAATACATCAATACGATACATTACGAACAATTCCTACCAGCGAAGAAAAGGAAATTCGTGACAATGTTTTAATTTTTCGTTAATATTTCGATGAGAAGAGAGCGTCGCATTGTGAAATACAATAACGATCTTTGGTATTTTCTTGTCTCTGCAATCTCTCGATACACTCTGATACATAACTGTCGCAAAAAAATTGATACGCCATATTTTGCCTTTCTTAAATACAACTTTCGCATTGGACAATTTTTCATTGGAAAGGATTTCGCGTAATTTGAAAGTTACTTCAGGTCGGTGCAAGTTACGTGAATCACCCTGTGATATTTCAGGTCGCGCGAATCCCCGTAGCTCTCTAGAATATCTTCGACATACGATTCTCCGTTTCTTCCAGCCAGATCGATTCTTATTAACAATTTACAAGGCGAAATAGGCCGAGAGACTCCTCCTCCTCCTCCTCCTCCTCCTCCTGTTGGATTGAAAGTCTGGTGTAAATGAGGCTTAAGCTTTTTCATTCGCGCTGGCGCTCCCCGTCTGGTTCTTCATTGCGGACCGAGCGTGGAAGTCAGAGTCGCTGTAGTCGTAATCCAGCTGGTAAGGGTTGCCGTGGGGTCGCGGATAGGGATTCGGATTCACCGCCGGGAAATGGTAATTTCCAGGATATCTGTTAGCGCCGGTGAAACTCCCCTGCGGCCTTCGATTACCATAATAGTTGGGCGATTGCACGAAAGCCGCCGGCCCGTACTTGTTCGGGGCACTCTGTAATTTATGTAAAAAGTACGACGGCATAAATCGATTGTCGGATGTACGATAGACCAGCGAAAATTAATCTCCCGTAAATTATTCTTTCGCAAGTTTTGGTTGGGTTATTTCGTACTCGATCATCCGCTATTGCGGGAGTAATCAACAGCGCGGTAAATTAATTCCTTCCACCCAACTTTTTGGAATAATAAATTAACAATCGTCCCCTGTTTCTTCAATTTTTGGGACTCTAAAAGCTCAGGCGGAGTCTCTTTGTGTCTCATTTGAATTAAATATACAATAAATTAATAAATCTTTCCAATTTTTGGGAATCTAAAAGTTTGGAGTCCCTTTGTATCTCGTTTGGATTAATGATACAATAAATTAACAATCGTCTCCTGTCTCACCAATTTTTGGGTTTCAAAAACTCTGGGGGAGTCCCTTTGTGTCTCAATTGAATTAGATATACAATAAATTAATAAATCGTCCCGTATCTTTCCAATTTTTGGGAAACTAAAAATTTGGAGTCCCTTTGTGCCTCGTTTGGATTAATGATACAATAAATTAATAATCGTCTCCTGTCTCACCAATTTTTGGGACTCTAAAAGCTCAGGCGGAGTCTCTTTGTGTCTCATTTGAATTAGATATACAATAAATTAATAAATCTTTCCAATTTTTGGGAATCTAAAAGTTTGGAGTCCCCTTGTGTCTCGTTTGGATTAATGATACAATAAATTAATAATCGTCCCCTGTTTCTTCAATTTTTGGGATTCTAAAAGCTCTGGGGAAGTCCCTTTGTGTCTCAATTGAATTAGGTATACAATAAATTAATAAATCGTCCCGTATTTTTCCAATTTTTGGGAAACTAAAAATTTGGAGTCCTTTTGTGTCTCGTTTGAATTAATGATACAATAAATTAACAATCATCTCCTGTCTCACCAATTTCTGGGACTCTAAAAGCTCAGGCGGAGTCTCTTTGTGTCTCATTTGAATTAGATATACAATAAATTAATAAATCTTTCCAATTTTTGGGAATCTAAAAGTTTGGAGTCCCTTTGTGTCTCGTTTGGATTAATGATACAATAAATTAACAATCGTCTCCTGTCTCACCAATTTTTGGGACTCTAAAAGCTCAGGCGGGTTCTCTTTGTGTCTCAATTGAATTAGGTATACAATAAATTAATAAATCGTCCCGTATCTTTCCAATTTTTGGGAATCTAAAAGTTTGGAGTCCCCTTGTATCTCGTTTGGATCAACGATACAATAAATTAACACTAGAACTACCGAGGACTAAAGTATAAGAGTTGAGTGAAAGAAAGTCGAATGCAAGCAATTATCGTGTTTTATAACACGATAATGAACGCGATAATAAAAACTTTTATTCACATATTTTACAAAGATCATTCGAATTTCTTTTCTTTAAAAAACGCAACGTTGCAAGCGGGGAAAATTGCTGTAAAAAATTATAAATTGATCATTTTGATCATTCTGGTAGTTCTAGTATTAATAATTGTCTTGTCTTTTCTTTCCCTCCTCCCCTAACTCTCCACTTTTTGGAAATCCCAAGTTTAGAGTTGCCTTGTGTCTCATTTGCATTCTATCGAGTAGTATTAACAATATTATTAATTAGTATTAACATTAAAAGTAATATTAGCAATAGTAATATTAGCAGAAAAATAGTACCGGATACAAAGGATAGTGTCCTTGTCCGTATTGTCCGGAAACCAACGCTGGGTACTTCCTGCTGTTAAAGCAGCAGTACTTCTTATCTTTGGAACAGCTCCCCTAATTGACAAAATTGATAACAGGAAGTGAAATAAGAACAGGACGATTTGTGATTTTTCACGATCAACTTTCGTCTCGTCACTTACGAATTTCAATCCGGCGGAAGGGCAATTAAAGCTGTATCTACATCTGCAGGTGTCGTATTCTCGATATCGAGGATCGTCCTTGACCCAAGGTGGCACGAAACCGGTTCCCAAGTCGCCACCGTCGACACTTCCGGCGTAAGGAGGTCTTAAGAGACGAAAGCGTGTTACTCAACAGTTATTCTCAGTTTTTACGTATTTCTTTTTATTATTTATCATTCGTTTGTTAATCAGTATTTTAGTTATAACTCTCGGCTCTTCAAACTAATCGAGCAATCGACAAAGCTTCGCGAATGTAACTTCCAACGAAATGAAAAGAAAATAGCTTTCGGGAAATATTTACCTTACAAAAAAAAAAAAATTCCTGACACACGTAGCATATTATATATGTATATTGAAGAATATTATATATTAAAAAATATATAATTAAAAATACATATATAAGGAAATATAAAGAAAAGAGAATATAAAGAGAATATAAAGAAAAATACATATATATTAAAGAATATATAATTTAAATGTTATAGAAAAAAAACTATAAATTAAAGAATATATAATTTATATATTATAGAAAAATAGATATACATTAAGGAATATATAATTTATATATTATTGAAAAATATATATATTAAGGAATATATAATTTATATATTATAGAAAAATACATATATATTAAAGAATATACAATTTAAATATTATAGAAAAAAATCTATAAATTAAAGAATATATAATTTATATATTATTGAAAAATATATATTAAGGAATATATAATTTATATATTATAGAAAAAATCTATAAATTAAAGAATATACAATTTATATATTATAGAAAAAAAAATATATATATATATTAAGGAATATATAATTTACATATTATAGAAAAAATATATATATCTATATTAAAGAATTAAGGAAAAAAAATATATTTAGTTAGTTAATTATAAATTTAGTTTAGTTATATATATTAAAGAAAAAATTGAAAGAAAAGAAAGGAGAGAATTGAAGCTAGTGCAACCTCTAGACCGTGTAACTCCGAGCCTCGAGTCCGATCGGTTTTCGTAAAATTCGACAGATCAGGTCGAAATCATTCGGTTGCACAGAGTCGAGATCGACATCGGGGACGCCGGGGCCGCGAAAACAGGCTTACTGGGTTGGAAAACTGCGAGACGATACGAAATACCTCTTTATAATGCCCGTTGGTCCACCGGGGCCGACAAGAACTTCTTTGTTGCCAGGATACGACGTCGGTACAATGGGTCTACCGTTAGGACCGTAAGGTCCGGTGTTTTGTGGTCCAAATCCTATGAAAGGTCTGTCGTGGCCGAGATCCTCGAGGTTCTCGTTCACCTGGTACCTGTAACTGAACAGGCAGTCCGCATTTTTATTCACTTCTCCTTTATGTTTATTTTATTCTCCTTCTAACCAGTACGTGTGTGTATTATCGTATCAATCTTGTCTCTGACATTAGCTTCGGATAAATATACTTTCAGATATAAAAGATACATTCAACTCTCTGTACAATCTACATCTACCAATATGTCACAGATATAGGAGAAATAGACTTTGACTTTTTAAATTTTTCTGTGCAGTTAATATTAATAAATCGTTAAATAAACCATCTATATAATTATCACATCAATATTAACAATTAATATACTCTCATATTATATATTAACAATTAATAAACTCTCAAATAAAGCATCTATATAATCATATAACATTTACTTACTAACAGATCACAGATGTAATAGGAACAGATATGATTTTTTAAATTTTTCTATGCAGTTAATATTCTGTCAAATAAACCATCTATATAATCTACGTTTACCTACTAACAGATATATCTTGTCTCTGATATTAGCTTTAAATAAATGTACTTTCAAATATCTATACAATCTACATCTACCTATCAACAGATCACAGCTATAATAGAAATAGACTTTGATTTTTTTTAATTTTTCTATACAGTTAATATTAATGAATCGACAAATAAACCATCTACATAATTATAATATATACATTAACAATTAATATTAATAAACTCTCAACTACAGTATCTATATAATCTACATTTACTTATCAACAGATCATAGACGTAATAGGAACAGACTTTGAATTTTTAAAGTTTTTTTAAGCAGTTAATATACTTTCAAATAAACCATCTACCTACTAACAGATATAATAGCAATCTTGTCTCTGATATTAGCTTCAAATAAATATACTTTCAACTATCTATACAATCTACATCTACCAACCAACAGATTACAGATATAATAGAAATAGACTTTTAAAAATTTTAATATACAGTTAATATTAATAAATCGTCAAATAAACCATCTACATAATTATAATATATACATTAACAGTTAATATTAATAAACTCTCAACTAAAGTATCTATATAATCTACATTTACTTATCAACAGATCACAGACGTAATAGGAACAGACTTTGAATTTTTAAAATTTTTTAAGTAGTTAATATACTTTCAAATAAACCATCTACCTACTAACATATAATATCAATCTTGTCTCTGATATTAGCTTCAAATAAATATACTTTCAACTATCTATACAATCTACATCTACCAACCAACAGATTACAGATATAATAGAAGTAGACTTTGACTTTTTTAAATTTTTCTATATAGTTAATATTAATATTAATAAATTTTAATTTTAATATTAATGTTAATATTAATAAATCGTCCAATAAACCATCTATATAATTATAATGTATATCAATATTAACAGTTAATATTAATAAACCATCCATATAGTCTAAATGATCTAGATTTATTTACCAGCATATCACAGATATAGTATCACAGAGATGTGATACCAAAATTTCCAAATGATCATGCAATACTTTGAAAATCATCCAAAAGCAAGCTATCATCTCATCAGAAAAAAAAAAAAAAAAGAAAAGAAATCTCGAAAAATCCAACACACCTTGTCCTGTCGACGTTACTCTTCTGTTCGTCACCGTCCCTCCACACCCACCCATCCTCTTCGGCGGCCGCTATAATCACAGTGACGCAACAGAGGAGAAAGAACGTGGCCATCGTTTGACAGGATGATGGTTTCGTCTCGTTGCCAGGTTGGCTAACTTCGCGTTGGCGAATATCGCCGACTAAAACGAGAGTGAAAGTGAATCCCGTCTTTATATATGCACCGTGTTGGAAGGTGAACGTACCTAGCGTGGCTCGTTTCGAGGTCCCCTTCGATAGCGATCTCGGATCAACAGTTTTCGCCCGTGTGCGAATTATCTCGCGCGCGCGTCTCCTTTTCGTTGCGGCGATTAAAATCGTTCGAGAGAAAATCGGACAAATTCTGGCGATGGGTGGAATATTTGCTGTAGAATTGGGTAACCTTCAGAAACGAAGTGTCTGAAAGCAAAATCAAAAGATGTAGAATATATAAATATGAAATATAAAAATATAAGTGTAAATATGAAACATAAAAATATAAATATAAATATGAAATATAAAAATATAAGTATAAATATGAAACATAAAAATATAAGTATAAATATGAAATATAAAAATATAAGTATAAATATGAAACATAAAAATATAAATATAAATATGAAATATAAAAATATAAGTAAAAATATAAATATAAATATGAAATATAAAAATATAAGTAAAAATATAAATATAAGAATGTAAAATATAAAAGTATAAGTAAAAATATAAATATAAAACATAAAAAGTATAAAAAATAATATTTTATATAAAAATATAAAATATAAAAGTATAAGTAAAAATATAAATATAAAACTATAAAATATAAAAGTATAAGTAAAAAATATAAGTAAAAATATAAATATAAAACTCCAAAATATAAAAGTATAAGTAAAAAATATAAGTAAAAATATAAATATAAAACTATAAAATATAAAAGTATAAGTAAAAAATATAAGTAAAAATATAAATATAAATATAAATATAAAATATAAAAATATTAGTATAAATATAAGAATATAAATATAAAATATAAAAATATAAAAATATAAATATAAAATGTAAAAATATAAATATGAAATATAAAATGTAAATAAAATGAGTAAATTGACAAATGAAATAAGAATTAGGAGAATTGGAGATCGAACGATGAAACATTTGTTTGCAAACCTTCGATTGCCACCGAAAATTGTAGAGAAGGTCTCACGAGATGCATTGAGTAACGTGAGGCGAGCACGTGGGTGCGGTTGCGTGGAAACCAGCGTGTCTCTCGTGTCTCGTGTCTCGTCCTTCGATCTGGGAAAATCCGTCGACTCGTGGAGGGGAAGTTGATGATTTCATTGTATAGGTGGTCTCTCCGACCTCTCTCTTTCAATAAGACCCAGCGAAATGACGTAACGCAACTTCGTCCACGTAGGACGTCCTTAATTCGAGCAATTTTCTCATTCTCTTGTCGTGAATTATCCCCCCGAAGTTAGTTAACTTTGACTTTCTCTAAAAATTGATCTTCACGGTGTGTTTGACTGCAATTTCCAATTCTTTCTTTTTTCAATGAATTAGATTTGAAGGTCACATCGACACCGAGATCGGCGACTAGGTGCTTATATTTTGTAGCACTTATAGTTTCGGATGATTTTGAAAAGTCAGGGCAGTGGTCGAATCTTCTCTGCCCTCGGAGTAGCTCAAAGTTTGCGCACATAAGGGGTGAGCCAAAAGTCACTTTCCACTCAGATAAATTCATAACTTTATTTTATTATACTATACTATTTTTATATTTCATATTTATTATATTATATAATATTATAATATATATTATAGTATATATTATAATATAGTATATAATATAATATATTATAATATAGTATATATTATAATATAGTATAATATTATAATATACTATATAATATTATTATAATATTATATATAATAATATATTATATTATTATTATAATAATATAATAATATTATAATATTATACTATAATATACTTATACTATACTATAATAATATACTATAATATACTTATACTATACTATAATAATATACTATAATATACTATAATATTATTATAATATTATATATAATAATATATTATATTACTATTATAATATAATAATATTATATATAATTATTATATTATAATATTATATGTAATATTATATATAATAATATACTATAATATTATTATAATATTATATATAATAATATATTATATTATTATTATTATAATATAATAATATTATATATAATTATTATATTATAATATTATATGTAATATTATATTATAATATTACATATAATATTATTATAATATTATATATAATATTATTATAATTTATCATATTATACTATACTATATAATATTATTTTATTGCTTGAACTTAAATTTCATTTGAAATTAGCTTCTTCTTACATTTTGATGAAAAAGAAAAATGGGTGGAAAGAAATTACTGGCCCATCGTGTAGAGTATGTCGAGCTGTGACATCCAGATTTTTGGCATCCATCGCAGAAAGAAGGGTCATTCCTCTCGATTAGATGTTCATGGCTAATTTCCAACTCTTCTCCACTCTTCGGATACTTAGAAAAAGAAAAAAAAAAAAGAAAGAAAAGAAAAGAGAAGAAACTCGCAGACGAAGAACGTCTCAAGTTGTCACGAATTCAGGCGAGACGCGAGGCTTTTTGAACGATTGCAGTTCGTTTCGACAACGATGGCGTGATAGAGTCAGTGAACGTTGAACGTTGTTCGAGGCGAGAGAAAAATGGCCACTTGGAAGCGTCGCGTCGTTTCTCGCGGTCGGGTGTAACCTTGTTTCGAGAGAAGGAAAAAGGCACGATCGAACGAAAATCCAATGATCAAGGTCATTTTCACGGGCAACGCGGTCCCGACCACCGAGGAAATTCACTTTTCCTACCGGGACAGGAAGTCAGAGGCGGTGGCGGCGCTTGGTAATTCGTTTTCCTTGATTTTTGCGCCGCGTTTGTCGGCCAACGATCCCGTCGATTAACCGTTTCACGGTTCCGCGACGAAAGTGGACCGCTAAGTTTGTTAAGTTCACCGTGAGAATTCATTGTGACGGCGCGATAAAAAGCAGGACCCTCTCGGAGGATGAGGATAATTTTCTTCTTTCGAACGAAAGAAGCGCGCGCGGCGAGAAAGTTGTTTCCGTCTGCCGGAATTTAATTTCGCTTCAGACTGTAAAGTTTAAAAAAAAAAAAGGGGGGAAATTCACTTGCTATATACTTATGGACGATATGACAAATTGAGATAAATTGAGAACAGATAGATAGATAGGGTGGCTGGATAATGAAACCATCAAAATGGTGAAAATGAACATTTGAATATTTTATGTAGATGTATGATAATGTATTTTTGGAGAGAAATATTTATAAGATAAATATTTATTAAATGTTATTAAATATTAAAAATAAAATATTAAAAATGAAATATCAAATATTATAAATTATTAAAAATGAAATATCAAATATTATAAAATATTAAAAATGAAATATTAAATATTATAAAATAAAATATCAAATATTATAAAATATTAAAAATGAAATATTAAATATTATAAAATATTAAAAATAAAATATCAAATATTATAAAATATTAAAAATGAAATATCAAATATTATAAATTATTAAAAATAAAATATGAAATATTATAAAATATTAAAAATGAAATATTAAATATTATAAAATATTAAAAATAAAATATCAAATATTATAAATTATTAAAAATAAAATATGATATATTATAAAATATTAAAAATGAAATATTAAATATTATAAAATATTAAAAATAAAATATCAAATATTATAAAATATTAAAAATGAAATATTAAACATTATAAATTATTAAAAATAAAATATCAAATATTATAAAATATTAAAAATGAAATATTAAATATTATAAATTATTAAAAATAAAGTATCAAATATTATAAAATATTGAAAATAAAATATCAAATATTATAAAATATTAAAAATAAAATATCAAATATCGTAAAATATTGAAAATAAAATATTAAATATTATTAAATATTATTAAAATATTTATAAAATTTTCTTCGTAAAATACATAAGTAAAAACACATGCTTTATGTAAATAAAGATTTTCTGTTTCTTTTACTTTAATGCAGTAGTACCGAACATTATTTTGGCCATGCTGCACTTAAGCTTATCTCTAAAATCCTGTTGTCTCACTCCTGCCTGCGGCACAATAATTTTTATTATTAAAAAAGTGAATTTTTGACTTCGTGGAGGAAATCTAAAAGGCCATTAACTTGGTTTAAACAAGTTTCCATAGAACGCGATATCCATGGCTAGAAAAAAATGAGAAAAAAGTTAAATTTTCATTTAAAGAAGAAAATCAAACTGTGGGCCCCTTATATTTAACCACGGCTTCAACATCTCTGACAGAAAATTTTACTTTGCTTTAGTCGTCGGTAGTTTCCCAGTGTTAAATATCGTCAAGCGTACGGTGATCACAATGGGGGAAGAATGACGTCACACCGTCGGGGAAAATTTCGATCTCTCCTCGAGGAATCCGGTTACATGCACCCGGGAAAAATCGACCAACAAACAAAGGCTTGTAACGCGTGACCGAGTTGCGTTCCGAAATCCAGCTGGAACATCCGCTCTGCTTTTGTGCCCGATCGATCGATCCTCGTCCCCTTCCGGCGGATGCGCTCAATCTTCTCCATCTTCCTACTCCCGCGTTCTTTCTCGACTGTTAATTAGAGCAATTAAAAAGAACAGGAAGAAAACGGGAATGGAATCGGAGATGAAAATCTATCTTTAATAAAACTTTACCTTAGATATATATACATATATATATATATATATATATATATATATATATATATATATATATATATACATATACACACACATTAATGAAGTGACAAGTATGTTAAGGCATCACAAGAAAAAAAATAATTCCGTACGTCCCAGCAGATGTATGACTACCTAAGAAAGGGGTTACAAAATAATAATGATGAAAAAAATCATTTGTACATTCCATAAGTTTGTTCAGTGCAGGCGAGCGGGCGCTTGTCATGACTTGACAAATGAAAACTTTTTAAGAAAGAAAAAAAAAAGGGAAAGTTATGCGTTCGATATTTTACATTTCTTTCGTGATAACAAATGATTTTTAAACAGATGTAATTACGGGGTTGGAGATCGATGCAAATGAAATTGTTTTGCGGGGGTTTATTGTTATACAGGAGCTGACAGTGAACTCTGGTACATGGTATTACGGCCTTTTGATCAGGCCACCATCTCTCCCCGTAATGAACATGTCGTGTTAAAATCGAGGACAAGAATTCGTTGCGCCCGCTTGCCAAATTTTATTGACTGCGCAGTATTTTCTATCTAAACAAAAAACAATAAAGCTTAACACGTAGGCGCATTTCCAGGAAAGAAATAAACAATACAAAACACCAGACGTTTCAAAACATCTTCAGTTTATAATTGCGCGTGAAACCAAAAAAGATGGAAATCCCATTTTTTTGAATTATTCTGATCAGAAGAAAAAAGGAAGAAACAGTAGGGAAAATATTTTAGGTTCGACATATCCTGTTATTGTTGATTGATTCTCGTTTGAAAATGCACCTGTAATTTAATTGCGTTGTGAAAAACACTTTAGAAATTTAATTACTTTCTTTCTTTTGAAATTCTCAACAACGACGATAAAAATAAACGGCGTAACGAAAATGGAAGAGAAGTCTAAAAACTTTTTCGAGAAATAAATTCACAACCAGTAGTATAACACAAGCGAAATGCAAATACGAGCCGGGGAGCGGTGGTGGTGGCGGCGGCTTTTGCAACGAGAGAGAGAGAGAGAGAGAAGAACAGAACGAAAGAGAAACATATAGTGCTAAAGAGCGCGAAAGCGATCTTCATTTTAAACAAAACACACTTTTCATTCGACGAAATGCAAAATAGCACATGAATATATTGCGCCAATTATTACCTCTGTTCTCCCTTCTTCCTAGAATATGTTTCCTGTCTTTCTAATAATGATAATTTAGAAAAAAGGAAAAAAAAAGAAGAAAAAATCTGCTATTTAACCATAAAAATTGTCCGTGTAATGTATATATCACCCGCCATGCTTTACACAATGTACGATTGAAATAAAGTTTTTAGGCTAGATTAGGTTGGATACTAATTGCATACCAAGAAAGATCTTGTATTGTAGCTGAGAGCGAAAACAAAAATCAATGTGCAAATAAACGTGTGTGCGTGCGTTGTATGTACAGTAAACAAAGATCGGTAAATGCTAGTACGTGTGAAAGAAAGAATGAGTGAAAGAAAGGAGCCAAAAAATGAGAGAGAGAGAGAGAGAGAAATGAGAAAAAAGCACTGGCAG